AATTTTTAGATATTCTATCTCAGAGCATTTTTTCTTTTACTGTTTATATTATCGGCATTTTCTGCCATTCGTAATTACACATTTTTCATGTAATTTAGAAACGCATTCAAATATTTTTGCTGAAGTTGGGAGAATTCCTTTTCTGACCGCGTTCCAAGTACATTTGAAATGCGCATTCAGCAACATTTCAAACGTAATATTGTGCTAGAAACTAATTCACTAGAGTATGTTTCGGGTAGTAAGTTTTACGTTCGTAAGCGATATTTATATTACATTGTGTCGGCATTTTTGTAACTACCGTCTTATTGTTAAACAGATGATGCAGTAGGAAAACTGACACCCACCTCTTAACCCTTATGACTTAGCTCCAGCCTCCCCTACATAATGCACCTCCAGCCAAATTTGAAATTAATTAAGAGCCAGCGCCGGCAGGGAGGGGGGCGCAGTGGGGGAGAGGGGCGGGGGAATGAGCTCAGGGAGAGAGGCGACAGGGGGGGAACGTGGGAGAGAGGCAGACGGGCAGAGACAAACGGAGAGAAAAACACGAACAGACAGAAAGAGAGAGAGAGAGATAGAAATAGAAATGCAGCGAGAGAGGGACAGAAGCACACAGAGATAGGCAGATAAAGAGCCACTCGAACAGACAGACAAGTTTTGCTAAAGATTATTTAACAAATTAACAACATGCAATATAAAATTCTTATATACAATAAGCACATTTCAATGCGAGTAATGTAATAAAATGTAATAACATTTTACAATAAAAAGCGTTTAATTTAATTTTAAAATAATAATACTAAAAAATAAATAAATGTTAATAAAAAACATTAATTTCATTTTACTTGCAACGTTAACCACATAAAGAAATTACTTTTTCACAGCCATCATGCCTAGCGTCTAGACGCATGCCCGATATTGTGTAGGCAAATTAAGAGAATCAACTTGATTTATCTCAAAACATGGTATTTGGATGAGAGTTTTCCTTCTATTCAGACGTAATGTGATGTATAACACAAAATCATCGCCAAAATGTAATTCTAAAAAGTTTCTACGACTTATGAAAACGAATAAAAGCTGTTTCTTGGGACTTCAGTTGACGCGCAGCCTTTTATTCGCTGTAGTTAACGTCAACGTCAACATCATCTCACCAACAACTACCACCACTCGATAAAAGCAAGATGGAACTGAGTTAGGCTAGAATCAAATTTATTTTGAAAATTCATGAAAGTGAAATATTCTTTGCATTTGCTCATGGTGAGATCATCAATTACCAAATTTCTCCAACATAATTCTCGTTTATGTGATTCACAACTTTATTTAATCATCCTAAGTAATTAATTAAATGAAATATTAATTCTGTTTTCATTTTTTACTTTTTCAATATACGTGTAGTAATGGATGGAGTTAGTGTATTTTCGTTCTTGCAAGAGCTACATTGCGTTTGTCATTTATTTATTGCGTGATTAACGAATTAAATGAGATATTAGTTAAAATTACATTATTATAGAGACCCCTGTGATTAATTTTTAAACAAACATCTTAAAAAAATAGCCGATGAAATTTTTGTTAAACGTTTATATGCATTATTAATAAGGATGAAATCAATTAAATATTTCATCAAATAAAATCAGATTGAAATTTTAACGATATGAAAACATATGTTTAACCGCAATAAATATTCAAAAATATTAATTCATGGGAGATACCTTGCGCCAGCAGCACGTTGATACTTTTTATTAAAAACTGTGATTTTCCTTCGTTTTCGACTGTTCCAAAAGAGATTTTAACATTTTTTTCTCGAGTTTTGCAATTTAAATAGAAAACTGACAAAATGCTCTCCCAAATTTACGAGTATTTGAATCCATCCTTGAGAGTAAAATTATAAATGAAACTTTTAAATATTTGCCAAAACAACGCTTTTTTATACAGAATCATCACACATGCGGGAGTTTTCAAATCACACGATGAACTACAGTTTTCTCCTTCAATGCGTAAGATATTTTGCTGATTCCAATTAATCAAAGATTTTCTCATAATTAAAAGCAACCAGAGAACACAATCACATGCAATATTCTTTATTTAATACCGACATAAGATGTCACGCAATATGTGACTATATTATTATAAAATATATGCCCTTCTTCTATTTCGAGGAGAGAAAATGAATTTCGTTTTTCGAATGTAATTACTTGACATATAGATGGATACACAGATGTATTTGAAACGCAATTGCGTATGATTTGCGGGGAGGCAATTACAATTATAAATACAATATAGCTATTGTAATAGTAAGGTAATGATTATAAGGTAGTTACACGGGTAACTTTGATAACATAGATGTGAACGGACGACTTCTAATTTTTGCGCAGAGCATCATAGAAAATTGACAATGAAGCATCCATCAATATTTTGCAATTAGTTAACATATTAGAAATTATTGACAGAATGTTTCATGTATAAAAATTTAAGAGTTCCTCCGCGTTCAGAATCGCTATGTAAGTTGTACCAGTGGGAGCGGGTCGTGAGCGGGTCGTGAGCGGGTCGTGAGCGGGTCGTGAGCGGGTCGT